ACTCTGTCCAACTCGGGCAGCGACCTCTAGCAACCACAATCAGCTGACCGCCAAACTACGGCATTCAATGTCAATAAAAAGTTGCTATTAAAAAAAAATCATAAAACTTTTTCCTGCTTGGCACCCCGCCAGTCAGTGGGAAATAATTATTATATTAAATGGTATCACTTTAATGGACTCTTGTCATGTCAGTTCGGATTATAGTCACGGTCGCTACGTTTAGGGGTCAGTAGAACTCAGCCCTTGATGATAATCATAAATGATGTTTATGAAACTGACTGCCTCGTTGGCCAAGTAGTCGCAAGTGCAACTGCCGGGCAAGGGGACTCGGGTTCGATTCCTGGGTAAAGCAAAGTATAACTGGGTTTAAAAAAAATCTTAGTGGTAGCACGGAGTCTGGAATTGTGCCCGATATATGGCAATAGGCTCACCCCCTATTACATGGGACTCATAACATAAATAGTGAAAAGTGGGTGTTACATTGTACAGTGACATAATGTATGCCTTTGCCTACCCCTTCGGGGGTAAAAGGCGTGATGTAATGTTATGTTTATGAAACTCTTCCGTGACTGAGTGACTTACAATCAACACGCGAGTTAAATGGATTTTCTAAAAGTCAATCAGTGTAGTTTGATCAAATTAAAATTACATAACATAACATCACGCCTTTTACCAAAGGGGTAGACAGGGACATAACGGCACTTAATGTTATTTACTGTACAATATAACACCCACTTTTCACTATTTATGTTATGAGTCTATTAGTTATTTGATTGTTTTTATAATAACTATCGTGAGACATATTAAATTAAGTAAAAACGCGGGTTTCTCACGTGAATATACTGAGAAAAGTCAGTGAGCAGCGTGCGCGACGTCGCCGCGACCGCGCACGCTGCTCATGAGGAAGAACCCCTCTGTGGCTCGAAACTAGTAGAGCTTTTCTCAGTATATTCACGTGAGTAACCCGCGTTTTTACTTAATTTAGTTATTTGATTATTTGTATAATTATAATATCAATATTAGTTTAAGTTCTTTTTAAGTTGTATATATTTTAATAATGTATAATTTAGTCGATAAATTATTTGTTTATCCTTTAGCACTTTATATTGTACTGGCTTCTGCCAGCGGCTTCGCCCGCGATCCCTTGAGATAAAAGTACCCTATTTGTTTTTCCAGACTATAACCTACCCCTGTCCAAAATTTCATTCCAATCCCTTCAGCCATTTTGATGTGACTGTGTAACAAACAAACACTCACTGACAAACTTTTACATTTAGTAAGAATAGCTTTCACCCGCGGCTTCCCTCGCGTCACAAAAGGATAAAAAGTAGCCTATGTGACTATACATCCCCTCAACTATCTTCAGTTAAAAAATCACGTTAATTAGTACCTCCGTTCTGCCGTTTAAGACAGGCAAACAAACAAATAGCTTTCCGCTCGCGTGAGATTCGGTTATATCGCGCTATTTAGATTTTTCCAATAAGTAGGTAATTCGTTGACTGGTTTTAAATAACATATAACGCCATCTATACGAATTAACACACAGCGCCATCTATACAAATATTTTTGTTTTCCCTCAGAAATATCAAATTTTTCCGGGATAAAAAGTACCCTATTATTTAATCCGGACTTCTAACTTTACGTCTGCAAAAATTCAAAGCAATCCGTTTAGTAGTTACGACGTGAAAGTGGAACAAACAAACAAACTCACTTTCCGACTTATAATATTAGCAAGGATTTAGGGAACAGAGAGTATAGTTCCCTAGCATCGGAGAAACAGGATCCTCCGACCTGTCGATGTGATCGTGGCTGGCGGACTTTCTGCCCAACAGTTGTTCGTTGGGATTTTCTATCCGTGTTAATTTGCATTTAAACTTTACATGTGCGATGTAGGATTTTTTATGACGTCATTCGTTGACTTATTTATTTATTTATTTATCGGTTTATGCACAACACACAGACAGTACACAGGAGAACACATATATAAATATTTTGGAGGTACATAGGTACTACATATTCCCGAAGGAATCTCTTCCTGCAGTCCTTCGACAGGAAAAACGGAAAAAACAGAGACACTGTGCGTAACATGACATGAAATGTATTAAATAAATAGATCACAATAAAATACATAAACCTATACATACATATGATAGATACACATCAAATAATACACATATTAGAGTATATTACAAATAAACATACATATATATATATATATATATATATATATGACACTAATTTGAACAAGATGAGGAAAGGTAGTGCTCCCTTACGAGTCTTTTAAAGATTGGGATGGATTTAGAATCACGGATATTAGGTGGTAGGGAATTCCAAAGTCGCACTGCATGAACAGTGAAGGAATAGGTGTAAAAATCAGTATTGTGTGAGACAACAGAAAGATTAGATTTAAGATGAGATCGGGAAAGAGCCTCAGGAGGGCGGGCAAAGGAAAAACGTTCACGAAGGTAAGAGGGATAATCGGGATTAAAAAGTATATTGAAAAGAAGACATAAGATGCGAGTGTTCCTGTGAAGTCGGATTGGGAGCCACTTGAGCCTTTTGCGAAATTCCGAGATATGATCGTACTTTTTTAAACCAAAGGCAAAGCGTATACAGACATTTTGCAAGCGCTCAAGTTTATTTAGAAGCTCCTCCGTGGCATCCAAATAGCAAGCATCAGCGTAGTCGATCAATGGACGGATCAGAGACTGCATAAGGTTGATCCTCGTTTTCAGAGGTAGAAGAGACTGGAGACGCTTCAGCGAATGCAAAGAGAAATGAACCCTACGACTGATCTCGTTCACCTGTTCACCCCACGAAAGGTTAGAGTTAATAAACACGCCCAGATTCTTGGCAACATCAGTGTAAGGGATAACATTGCCATTTAGGATCAAAGGATCAAGGGCAGAGATGCTCAATGCGTTGCGGTAAAACCTACCCCCAATTATCATAGCCTTGGACTTGAGGGGGTTGATTTGCAGGCCAAAGGATTTGGCCCACTCATCGACCCCACTCAGGTCACGGTTCATGGCTTCAATTGCAGAGTCGACCTCCGACAGCTTGAAATGACGGTAAAGCTGCAAGTCGTCTGCGTAGAGGTGGAAATTAGAAGTGATAACCATGGCAACGGTGTTAATAAAAATGGAAAAAAGAACTGGAGAAAGGACACCACCCTGAGGCACGCCAGCAGCGAGGTCACACCAATCGGAAAAGGTATCCTCTAGGCGAACCCGCTGACGGCGGCCCCGGAGATAGGAGTTGATCCAGGATAAGGAAGAAGAGGAGAAATTGTTGTGACATGAGTCGCCACAAGAACATTCACAAGTGCAAGCTACTTCTTTCTGTCAAATTCCTGTATTAGATTCTCAATTTTATCGTTTTGAAATAAAGTAGAAAATGCAATAAAATAAATTGATAGATTTGAACTACTACCGAGCTTTTCTCGACAGTTGCGTTTGTGACTTTGTGACTCAAGTAACAGATGTCATATTGACAAATTATATGTCTAATTTACATTTTGGCTTGCAAGCGATACAGTGAAATCAACTGCCAAGTATTAATTAGAGACACCTAGATTAAAACCACTCATACGTCTTTAGCAACATACAACATACATAACATCACGCCTTTTATCCTCAAAGGGGTAGGCAGAGGTGCACATTATACCACTGTACAATGTAACACCCACTTTTCACTATTTATGTTATGAGTCCCATGTAATAGGGGGTGAGCCTATTGCCATATACCGGGCACAATTCCAGACTCCGTGCTACTACTGAGAATTTTTTAAAAAACCCAGTAATACTTTGCCCGACCCGGGAATCGAACCCGAGACCCCTTGCTCGGCAGTCGCAATTGCGACCACTCGGCCAACGAGGCAGTCTTTAGCACTGTATATTTATTTTGTACAGATAATAATTTGTTTTATTAGCTACTTCTAAACGGATTTTTATAAGGAAATAGCGTAATGCCCGTCAGAATTCCCGCCCGCAGCCAAATGCCATTTAGCGCTCGTCTACATGTAAAATAGTAGAAAACCAAATTATATGGAATTGACGTAAATTTTGACACTTGTCATTGTCATCCCCATACATTTAGTTTTCTACTCTCTCTGTAGACAAGCGCTAAAGTAGCGTTTGGCTAAAGGCATAGAATATAATGTCACAACTCTGCGCGGATTTTTTTTTCTAATCTGTTACATTTGACAGATGACATCGTCAACATGACAGCTAGTGCTGTCAATAACATAGATTAAACTAGTTAGTTTTAGTCATCTAACACTACTGAGATGTCGCGGAGAACCTAACGGGTTACCGGGGCTCCGGCTCGACGTTCAGGAGAAGGAACGGGGTGGTTTTTAGTCAGTAAGAGTCTGACACTCTCTCCCACCTCACCCAGGCGGGAGCAGATATTCGATGATTTTCCCACCTTAATAAAAAAACACTACTGAGATGACAAACAATCTTACAGTCCGCCTGACGAAAAGTAATTCCCGTAGCTATTGTTATTTAAGAAAATAAATAATGATTCAGTATAGAGACGGTAATTATTGGTTAACTACTGAGCCGACCAATAGTTAGAGAAGATATGGCATATGGCTTCGTTAAAAACAAAGAATGTAATACAACAATAGCTACTATCTCTGTGCATCTTTATCTTCTTATATTCATACCAAAATAACTTTACTGACGGTACATCTGTGGTAATAGATGTGCCGTGAATTCCGTCCTAAATATCTAAATTATGTTCTAAACCAGCTAACATTGACTTTTCTTTTGTTACAGCATAAGGCATCATCTCACCAGCCTTGAAAAAAAACCACCTGTCAAAACTCCCGCCAAAATGAACTGTCAAACGCACCACAGCTAATAAAACCAATCGAGTGATCGATTAAACAAAACATTCTGCCAAAGAGTTCGTCTCGTAGAAAATTTAAAACAATGATTTCGAGAAAATCAGAATAACTTTGGAAGGTATTGAAGAAGTATTGCATTGGCAAGATGGCGACTCCACCTGAGTCTCCTGTGGAGGAGCATGCTTATGAATTGGAGCCCAGTAGGACTCCGAAGCCGATTCCTGTTGCCTTGGAGGAGTTATGCCGGCAGACCAAGTTTTCTAAACAGGAGATCCGCGTCATGTACAGGGGGTTTAAAACAGTGAGTACTTTATCCATACTTAACTCTTTGAGTACCGTCATTATAGACACAATCAAAGAACAATAGGTTGCTGTCATCGGTGTCCTCGCGGTGTTTGACAGTTTAAACTTAGACTGCAGTCCAACCGTGCACCATTGGCGCGGTGGCTAAGCAACTGGCTGCGGCACAACGTTTCGCGGGTTCGATTCCCGCACGAAGCAACTCTTTGTGTGATCCAATGATTGTTATTTCCGGGTCTGGGTGTGATGCGAATTTAAACTTGTATGTATGTATGTTAACGCACCCACGATATAGGAGAAAATTCTAGTGTGGGGCAAAGTTTAAAAATGAATCACTGAATTGTGCATAATTGGGTATGTAAACGCATAACTGCCAAACTGCTTGACCAAAATAGATAATGCTTTTATGTAGTGTTTATCATTGTTAGGACAAGGCTTGCATAGAACAATAATAGGTAATAGTACCCAGACGGAACTGGGTCGAACCACTACTCTTTTAATTTAATAAGATGAAGACAAAGGCATTCTTGAATGTAATAATTATTATAGAACTTTGTCGTTTATTAAAATTCGTTTCAAAGTATACATTCCCATGCCCAATTAGCTAGATACTTCATTATTCATCATTTTATATTCAAGGGACGCAACTGTAGTTTCAAGCCATGCTAGAGGCTTATATTCATGTAATGATTGGATTAATTGGAGATATTGAAGTAGAAATAACAAACCACGTGTTGCTCTGTAAATCAAAGAAACAACGATTAAACCTATTATTTAAATTCCAAATTCTCCCTTTTATTTATTATAATTACATTCCGTAAGATATTCAATTAACATGTCTCTTGTTTTGACAGTTCTCAATCCATAGATTCTAAATGTTATCTATGGTAACATAAAAAAGTTTAATTACTTAAATCTCATATGAACAATAATTATTAAAGAAAATATAATTTCTTTACATTCATTAAGGTGCTCACTCACCGGCAGCATTCACGTGTAATGTAACATTATAGATTCGACTTTGAGTATTACATTACAATAATACCTCCCTGACTAACGAGCATTTGCGTGTAATGTAACATATACATAGTAGATTCGACTTTGAGCATTTCATAGCAAGATGTAAGACGAAGCGGGCGGGCGGGGGGAAATGGAGCGCATTGATGTTACAAGTTGTATCAAGACATTACACATTGTATCGTTACAAGGCGCGCAGTGTAACGCTCGGTTCTCCTCCTTCACTGATGTAACGCTCAGACCTGTAACGTTACAATGCACGGGAATGCTCCCGGTAAGGGAGCACCTTTAGCAGCATTCCGCGACACAATGAGGCGACTCTCGCGCTGCTACTGGCTACTCGGCTGCGAGGAATGCTGCTCATGATTAAGAGCGTCTAGAATGCCTTGAAACTAGTCAAGATAGATGGTAGATGTCCCACCCACACGCACAAAGCGCTTCACATCAAGCTTCCTTGTGCGTACTGCTAAGGAGTGAAATTCTTTGCCAGATTCTGTGTTTCCTGAAGGGTATAACCTGGGTGTCTTCAAGGCTCGAGTGAATAGGTTGCTTATGGAACGACGTGCTCCATCGTAGACCGCATCATCGCTTACCACCAGGCGAGATAGTGGTCGAACGTCGGCCCATCACTACATAGTATAAAACAAAGTCGCTATCCGCCGTCTGTCTGTCCCTATGTATGCTTAGATCTTTAAAACTACGCAACGGATTTTGATGCGGTTTTTTTTAATAGTCAGAGTGATTCTTAAGGAAGGTTTATATGTATAATACATGCATATCGCCCCCGTGTGGAGCCGGGGCGGGTCGCTAGTCAAATATTAAAAAAAGTTCCATAATAATTCATAAAGTACATATTTATTATGTACTAGCTACTTCCGCGCGTTTTGACACACTCTGCTCAGCTCCTATTGGTCGTAGCGTGATGTTTTATAGCCTATAGCCATCCTCGATAAATACGCTATCCAACACAAAAAGAATTATTCAAATCAGACTTGTAGTTACGGAGATTAGCGCGTTCAAACGAACAAACAAAAAAACAAACGCTTCCGCTTTATATAATAGTATATAAGATGTAGAGGTATAGTATTATGTACTGCAATTTATTGAATTTGAGCTTCCTCTACATAATACAATTACCATGTTTAGCAGACCGGTTAGACACCAGGGTCTGAAAGGAGGTTTATCACAGAGCGATGCTGCCCGGTCTCAGTCTAATATGTCCTCCCTTAGTCGGGCATACGACACCCACGGGAAGAGTAGCGGTGGTGACAAATATACCACTCCGCCGTCATCACATGACTGTTAAATTTTTTTATGGCATAAGCCGGTAAACGAGCAGACGGATTACCTGATGGTAAGCAATCGGCGTTGCCCATGTACACCTGGAACACCAAAGGCGTTACAATTACATTACCGGCCTTTTGGGGATTAGGAGTTTGAGGATCGTTGGTTGATTCAGGAATTGGGGAGATTGAGGAAGGGGAGGGTAATTGGGCCTCCGGTAACCTCACTCACACGACGAAACACAACGCAAGCGTTGCTTCACTTCGGTCTTCTGTGAAGCCGTGGTATCACTCCGGTCGAGCCGGCCCATTCGTGCCGAAGCATGGCTCTCTCACACACAAAATTTAAATGATAAATTCACGAACAGAATGTCTGTTTTCTAGTCTGAATCTTGGCGTCATGATTATCATACTTTACCTGTCATCAACAGCACATGTTTTCAACAAGATAAATTATTATTTACTTATGAATTCTATGACTAATGTTATGGAATCAGGAAACGTGGTATTCTGTGACAGACAGACATAAAATATAACATGTTATGCTTTTGTATGATAACCAAAACCAACTATAAGAATGTTATTATGTTTTCGGCTTACTCACGTAATTATTTGACTCAGAACTCGACTAGTTTCAAGCCATGCTAGAGGCTCATATTCATGAGCAGCATTTCGCGACCCGCGACTGCGACGCGGCGACTGTCGCGCTGCTACTGGCTACTCGAGTGTGCGCCCAGCGCGCCCTCTGCCGTGATTCACGCGCACTTTCTTCCACTCGTGGTATCGGCGACGACGGCGCGAGTGGCACTGTTGACTAGGGCATGTAAAACCGGTTTTCCGGTTTTGCGCAAAACCGGAAATCGGCCAAAATTTTACGATTATTGAAAACCGGTTTTGAGAGCCAAAACCGGAGCTCAGCTCCGGTTTTCCCATTATTAAGAAACAATTAACATTTTGTTTTAATCAATTTTTTTTCAAACACTCTTACAAAAATAATTAATATTGAGGCATTAAATGTATCCGAACCGAACACAGCCTGCATCCACCCATTTTCACGCCTCCCTCCACTACCCCCGCCTGATGCTTAACTAAATGAAGTGCATTTTCGTAGTCGATAAAACATATTATCAGCACGTCCGGAGATTCTGAGATCGTTGAGGGCGAATAAAGCTTCACGGGTGCCTACACCAGAATGAAATCCGAATTGGCTGTCTCCCAGTTGTTCGTCACACTTTACTCTTATTCTGTTCTGTATGATGTTTAAGAACACTTTTAGGACATCTCTCATTAGACTCATCATCTGGTACTCTCCATATTTTGTTGCATTTTGTTTTTTGAGTATTGTAATGAACGTAGACTTTAGCCAGTCATGTGGAAGAATGCCAGTTTCGTAAATGTTGTTGAAGAATTGGTCAAGTACTTCCTCCAATAGCTTGAGAATCTCGATGGGTAATATGGGTATGTTATCTGGTCACGTAATATCTCCGATTTTAAAATAGTTGGACCCGTGTCATCAGTAATTATTTGGATATTTCTTGATGGGTCTGCGAACATCTCCGAGCCTGCACCCCGCAGTTGATTATTGATCTCTTTTTTAGTGCAATATGAATCATATTATAATAATATTATTTTGTAGTTTGTCTTCAAAGTTACAAAAATAATGTTTTTTTTTTGGTAATTGTGGCTGGCTGTATTTAATATTTAAAGATGCTACTTGTGTTTTCTATGTTTAAAATATATTATTTTTGATAGCAGACTTAATAGGTTCCAAAGATACCAAAAACTTATTTGTTGTTGATTTGATCTCAGTTAAATAATTTTTATACTATTATAAGTTCATTGTTATCTGTACAATTATTATGGTTTGGATGTAAAAGAAGTGAATCACACAATTTGTTTTATTTGTAGACTCAGTGGGTATTTAAAAAAACGGTTTTCTTTTTTAAATTAACTACATTGGATTTTTTTGATAAAACCGGACCTAGCTCCGGTTTTCGGTTTTGGTACCAAAAAAACGATGTTCAAAACCGGTTTTGATGACTTTCCGGTTTTACATGCCCTACTGTTGACACGCTAGACTCGCCCGCCGGCAGCTGCGTTGGTGTTGTTGGGTTCGAATCCCGGGTCGACGCAAAAACAGTGTGACGATCTAGTCGAGTTCCTCGTCAAATTATTGCGTGAGTAAGCCGAAAACATAATAATTTATTTAGTATGTCTCACGGAAGTTACAATACAAATACAAGAATGATGTAAACAACTTGAATTGTTGACAGAATAGACATAACATCACGCCTTTTATCTCCGAAGTGATAGGCACATTTTTTTTAAATGGGGGAAAATCATCGAATGACTGCTCCGGCCTGGGTGAGGCGGAAGGGACTGTCACACTCTTACTGACTAAAAACCACCCCGTTCCTTCTCCTGCACGTCGAGCCGGAGCCCCGGTTACGCGTTAGGTTCTCCGCGAGGTGCACATTGCGGCACTTAATGCCACTGTAGGTACAATGTAACACCCACTTTTCACTATTCATGTTATGAGTCCCATGTAGTAGGGGGTGAGCATTGCTTATTATTATTATGTATGTCTTTACCATTCACGGGACCACAGGGTCCCGGTCATTTGGGAGGCCTACGAGGGGCCGAAGCCAACTGCGCAGAGGCCCTTTAGACAACTTTAATATAAATGTAATGGATTATTATT